TTTAATTATTTGGTGTTTATTTTGCACATTGTGGGTTGTATGCATGAATTGATATTGCAAACATCATTTGATTTTGATATTTAACATTTCTTTTACTTAATTCATAAATTTATGGCAAATTATATGCAATTTAGACATTTTTTTAAAATATTTTTAGTTAAATTATTATGTTTTTATAATTATTATTTATATATTTTTTATTATTTTATTATATAACCGGTTTGACCAGTTGACCCACGGTTGAAACAATAAACCATTGGCCCAGTCCCCTTGCCAGTTCGATGACCGGTCCGATTCTGATAACATTGTTCGTAACATCGAGATCACCATAAAAACTTGTCAATCTCCAATCCTTCCTTCCATTATAGCCATCAACATGGACATTTATATGTCTACAGGAGAAGCTTGTAGAGAAAGAGACATATCCTTCTTCTATAACAAGACCAATCCTCCAGACAGCCCAATCGATTCATTGTTATTCTGTTCATTCAATATCACGCCTCAAGTCTCTCGATACCATCTGTTTTGTATTTTTTTTTATATCAAGAACACAAATTTAAGGCTCTTCTTCACATATTCGTGATCAGTGGTGGTATACAAATGTTTTGGTTTAAGCACGAACAAAGACCTTTATATTAGTGAATTTTGCCCTAACATTTCTCTTCCACCTCTTCAGATCTGAGATTCCTTTGTGATGTTCGACGACAGCTACTTTTTCTTTCCCATTAACATCCGCAATTTGTTTGTAATGGGTTGGGCCAAATCAATTGTTTAGTCACAACTCATATCAATATGGGCTTTAGCTATTAGTGGGCTTGGGGAAGATATATCCAGACCTGGACATGGGCTTAAAACATTTGGGTAGTCCAATAAGTTGGTTCCAAAGCTATTTAGAATTTGTTTGAACTTTTTCCCTCTACCATTTGAAAATCTCCGATTAATGGATCTTTTGTGGCGCAATTGGAGAGGTTTATTTGATTGTATCTTCCACTCCTTCCATCCCTACTTTTTTCCCAAGTCCTGAATTTTGAAAACACCTAACTTCAAGGGACCGCTTTCCATCACTTCCATGATTGGAGGCTTAATGGTCGCCACCCCTTGGAAAGTTGACTCTGTCTCTACCGGTGAACCACTATCATCTCCGACCACCTTATTATCAGGGTCATAGGCTTGCGATTCTACTGTAGATGGTTTATGGCACTGAGATCCCTTTTATCCTTATCCCCATAAGCTCTTAACCAATTAGTATACTGTAAATTTTCTTATGTAGGTGAGTTTGATGACCCCCAATCTCACCTGACACTCTTTCTCCCCATGCCCAAAGCAACCACAGTGGTAGCAAATGTTTGGTAGCCTTTCATACTTGAAGAAGACTAAATAATTGGCCTCCAATCCCTTGACATTCATATCTCTAAGGAGAGGCTTGGTCACATCTAGACTTACTCTGACTGTTAAGTACCTACCCCAACTAGTACCCTCATGTTTCAAATCAATTTTTAAGTGATTGCCAATGTGATTACCAATAATTTTGCCTATTTCTTTATTCATGTTGTTAAACGGGAGGTTATATACTTGGACCCAAAATGAACAATGGTTAATTTGAACCTTCGACATCTATGTATTTCCATCATATTCTATCAATAAAACAAGGTGATTATCAAAAGACCAAGGCATACCTTCAAGTACCTTATTCTTGTCTACCAGAGTTCTATATTGAATTAAAATTATATTATCGGCCAAGTCTTTGAATTCTGCATTCGATACATTCCAAACTAATCTCATCTTGAAAGTTGCTCTATTGAAGAATCTACCATAGTGTAATCTCCCTACCAAACATAGCCTTCCTTTTTTCATCAAGAATGTTCAGCCTTGCTAGCTATGTTTAGACCCATTTGCTCCTCTTCGGACAATCTAAAGTTTAGCCACAATCTTTTCATTTCCTCCTCTATAGCACCCACCTAGAAATGACCACAGAAAGCCTAAGTAATTGTTCGAGCAAGTGGTGGATAAAGTTCTGATAATTAATTCAAGACTTGCAACACAAAAATTGATTGTGAAAATGTCTAACTTAAATCAACGTGAATGGAAAATAAGTAGAGAATGTATTGAGGGAAGAATACAACATAGAGTAATTGGTAACGATCCTAAAGCAAAAAACTTTCATTAGGAAAACCTATAAGAAAGAGAGGACCTGAGTTAACACCACTTTTCCATCGTGTCCATTTTGCGCTTTGAAGAAAGTAAAATATTGAAAAAACACCCAATCTACATATTTATGCTAGTTTATAGAAATGAAAAGTTCAAAAAATACTACATAACCCAAATGAAACCTAAAAAATTACAATTCAAATATATATCATCCCTTAGATGAGTGAACTCTGTAGATATTAAAAAATTAATGTTTATAATTGAGCTCAAATCAATTAGATAAATTACATTGGGTTTGACCTAAATTTCATAACCTAAACAATACAAGTCCAATTTAATTAACAAGACTTGTCAAATTAAATTAAATTGGATTTAAATTCCATACCCTAAATAATACAAGCCCAAATGCAATTAATCATGCTTGTTAAATTAAATTAAAATGGACTTAAATTCCATACCATAGGTCCAAATTAAACAAACATTTAAAACGTAAAAAAGGTTGGACTTAAATTCCATAAATTAACTAAAGTCCACAAATTTATGGGGTAGCCCATTACCTAAAGTTCACATAAGGGTATTCAGGTAAAATACCTTTATATAGATAACTACTCTTATCACTATAAATAGAGGTCGGGGGAAGGAAAACAAAGGAAAGAGGTCGAGAGGGAAGAGCAAGAGAAGCCAAGGAGAAGGGAAGATCAAGAAAATTCAACCCAAGTCCACCTCTACAGAAGAAGGGAAGATCAATAGCGAAGCTTTGCCAGAGTCTGCCCCTAATTGAGGTCTGGCAAATCTATCTCTAAGGAGAAGAAACATCGCCAATGTCTTTCTTCAAAAGATCTAAATCATCCTTAAGTCATTCAACACAAAGAACGGTAAGAAAATTCGACAGAGTCAAGTCAAAGATCGAAGAACGAGAACCACGTCAATCTGACTCTCGTCTTCAACAAATCTACCAAAGCATCGCCAAATCAAAGATTAAGAAATACACCGATCCGGCCCTCGTCATCAAATTCATTGAGAATCAGAGGACAGTGCACGTGAGAAGCACGCCAAAGAGAGTCAACATTATATTTTTTTTACTTAAAATCAATCCAATTGACTATTGTAATTTGACCTTATTTTGTGTTATATTACATCATGAAATTTGTTGTTACAAATTTTGGCACGCTTAGTAGGACACTTTCTTCCTCTCATCTCTCAAGTCAAAAATTCAACAAACCTGACAACAATGACAACTAAAGACATTGTGATTCCTCCCACCGACAAGTCAGCGGACCTGGTCGAGGAGTCAATTCCAACAACTCGTGCTAGAACAAAGGTGGACAAATCTTAAATTTTGCCACCAATGGAGCATGGACCTAGGCAAAGCAAAAGGAAGGCTCTTCCAACCAGAAAGAGACAACCTGCCCATTCTGCTGTTGATTTGGAAGAAGAAATAGATGATTTTTTGTTCAACACACACTCCAGCACAGACTCGATGACTAAATCTTACTATGAGATTTCTTCTAAGTAGAAGTGGGGTGATTATTCCTCAACCTCTGATACACCTATGCCTGTGATAGTAACGGAAGCCACTTCATCTGAATAACATCTTCAACAACTTACTACTATGATCGAAAGATTGACTAAAGCTCTTGAAGGTAAAGACATGCAAATTGCCACATTAATGAATCAGCTCGAATTGCAAGAACCTTCAAAAGGAAACAGTCAAGAAACTCCAAATCCATTTGATACCAAAACACCAAAAAATTCTAAATCTTTAGAAAAATAACAAAAGCAAGAGCAGTATGATCGAGTCGTGACGCAAAATGTCATGTGAGATTCTTCTCAAATTTTTGTTGCTTCATTCTCTATCCAACAACTCCAGCAAATGATTGCAGATACAATCCGAGTCCAATATGTGCGAGCTCAACAATCTTTGTTGGTATATGTCAAACAATAAATTTGATGAATTGATGAGATGCAAATGCCTATGGGCTACCAGCCCCTGAAGTTCCAACAGTTTGATGGAAAAGACAACCTAAAGCAACATGTTGCCCATTTAATAGAAACTTGTAATAACGCTGGCACCTACGGTGATTTAATGGTGAAACAATTCGTCCGTTCCCTTAGAGGTGCCTCGTTCGGCTGATACACAAATCTTACTTCGGGGACTGTTGATAATTGGGACCAACTTGAACAAGAGTTCCTTACTCATTTCTACAGCACCCGACGTATGGTAAGTCTTCTTGAACTTGTAGGGACAAAACAAAGAAGAGATGAATCCGTCATTGATTATGTCGAGCATTGGAGGAGTCTTGTTCTCAATTGCAAGGAGCGCATTAGTGAATATGTGTGTCCAATGGATGTAATGGGGATTACTTTATAGCCTCTAGGGAAATATGCCCCATACTTTCGAAGAACTTACAACACGAGCCCATGACTTAGAGATCCAAATCGCTAGACATGGAAATCATTTGATAAGTGATCTTCATGAAAATAAAAATGTAAAATCTTTCAAAGCAGAGGAAGTTATGACAATTACCACTGTACCAATGAAGATTTCTAATAAAAGGTCAAATATAGACTACAATGCTAAGTTAACTCAATATCAGGTCCAAAAGAAGACAAGAGCGAGTTTGAAAGAATTTGAAGGGAAGAACTATCCCTTTTCTGATGCTGAAATTTCTGATTTCTTTGATCAGTTGCTCAAATTAAAGCTTATCGAGCTTCCACCGCCTAAACGGCCAGAAGAAGTAGGAATAATCCAAAATATTGCAAATATCATTAGATTGTTAGCCATCCCCTTGAAAAATGCTTTATCTTGAAGGAAGAGATTCTTCATCTGCTAAATGAGAAGAAAATTAATCTCAATTCCAATGAAGATACAACAACTGCAAATGTGACAATGGTCACTTTTGAGTCTTTTGACCCTATACCAATCTAAAATAAAGGAGTACAATCATCCCCTCATGTACATCTTAAAGAACCATCACAATTATTGAATTCTTCCACCTCCACAAAAGAAACATCATTAATTGAAGGAAAGAAACTCACCATTTCCCTTCCTGATAGAGTTGTGCAGGTGCAATTCATTGTTGATGACAAGGTGACAACAGTTTATGTATACACGAGTATGCCGAGACACGAAAATCCCAACATTCCAACGCTTTATGAGCTAATAAAAGATGATCTAGATGTTTGGGCATCATTGTCTGAGTCGAAAGATGAGACTGGAGATGGTTGCTCAACTTTCATCAGCAAAAAGGATAAATATCGAAATTCAAGTGCTAATATGAAGTCATCTAATCTACTAGACGACACAGAACTCATGCTGGGGGCACCAATCTCATAACTCAAACCAAGTGGGTGGCCTTCTTTGGGAGATTCTGTGGATATTGAAAAAGATCCGGGGGAATGGACTACGGTCAAGCCTTGTAGATGCCATAAGATACAATATTTGTCTCATTTATCTAATAAACTAGTACACCCCAAAAGAAAGAGGGGATCTTATTCTCGCCGAAATCAAAGACGCGGGGTGAAAATAAGAGTTCCTTCTCAACTAACAACCACTGAAGATGAAGACTACAAATTTTTTTATCGTACACCTATTACTTTGTTGGAGTATTTTTCCAACCAATTCTTTGCAAGGGAACTAGTCACATGTTGTATGATTAGTGCTCATGAAGTTAAATACATGACAGGTACTCTATCAAATAAATGTTTGAGTACCAAAAGTGCACAAAAAGAAGTATTAGAAGATGAAAATATGATTGCAAAATAGAAAGAAATGCCATCAAATTTGAGTTTGTCGAAGGCACTTGAATTATCTGAAAAAAATCGTTAGGCACTGATACAAGTTTTGATCAACCCAAAAAGATTTAAAGAAAAGATTCTAACTGGTGCCGATGAGGTTAGTCATGTTGATTGCATGACAATAATCTCCTTCAATGATGAAGATTTACAACTAACGTGTTGTCCACACAATAGACCTCTTTACATCAACAAATATATTCAAGATTATAGGGTGTCTCGTATATTGATTGAATGTGGATCAGTCGTCAACATCCTGACATTTCGCACCATGAAACAACTTGAAATTCCCATGGATAAGTTGTCAAAGAGTAAGTTGACAATTCAAAGCTTCAATCAATGGGGGCAACGTGTCTTGGGTATGATTCATCTCAAGATCAAAATCGAAGAATTGTTGTCTTAATGCCCTCTTCCATGTCATCGACCCTAAAACATCTTACGAGCTACTGTTGGGAAGACTTTGG